GGACGGTGATGTGCCTGTTCCTCCGGAAAAGAGGCTGAAGGGAGACGGCTGCGACTGGAAGGTCACTCAGTGGATGGGGGAATCGAGACACGCGTGAACTTGCCGTGCCTACGAAGCGTGAATAGAACGAGTGGTGGCTCGCATAGCTCCAGCGTCGGATTCTCTCTGTTCTCCCCTAGGTTTATGCTTGTATGATGGTCTTCTTCCTGAGCAACATGATCGAGAACCAGTGCATGTCCACGGGCGCGTTTGAAATAACCCTGAACGGTGAGCAGAGACGCCCTGTCGGGGGAATCGCCGCGTTGCGCGCGTGGGCGCAGCTGAGAGCCATTGCCTGGGAGGAGTGAGGGGTGACGGTGTGACGCGTGCGGTGGCGTGTGGTAGCTCCATCCACTGTGGGACTCCGGGTGTTGCATGCTGCTGCGGAGGGTGACAGTCACAGTGTCCTGCGTAGCAGCCGATGCCAGTGTCGGCTGTTCTAAACCAGCTGGGTGACGCTTCCTTCGAGGGGAGCCTGGTGGCCTGGTGTGGCTGTATCGGGTTCGTTCTTCGCACGTGGTGTGCATGGAGTACGGAAGGATCAACGAGGGAAGCATGCTTCCCGTCAATTAGATCAATCCCTGGCCTGTTTAGCCTTGGGATGCTGTCGAATTCGTTGCTGTTCCCAGGTTCGCAGTACCAGCAGACCCCTTGGCTGATCTTTTTAGGCTAAAGAGCCTGGACCTTCTGCCCTCACGTGTGATGTGACGGTCTCAAAGCTGACGTCAGCTCAGTGGAGTACAGGCTTCTCCCGCCCTAGGCGCGAGTGCGCAGGCGGCTCTGTGCTTTGTGACCCCTGAGGCTGTAGTTTCCGCATCCGGTCATGTGCTGCGGGGCCTTCTGAAGGCCGACTGCTGCATCAAAGTCGTGGAGCTCTGTGCAGTCCCAGCCCGAAGTCAGAGATCATAGTGGCGGCAGAGCCTTGCCAGGGATGTTGCCCCGGGCTTCTGCGCGTCTGTGCCCGGTGTGTTGGCACACTGGGTCCGTTTGGCATTTCTGTCACGCGGTTGTGTTCTTCCCGTGGGGTGGGGAAGTGCAGCAGCAGTGCGGGATGTCTGAGGGGGTGTTGGTCGGCACGCGAAGGGAGTGCTGCGTTACCCTGACACTGCGGTGGGCGTTTGTAGTGCTGGGGGGCTAATGGTTGCAGCTACTGCGAGAGGACCCTCCCCAGCCAGGCCCTGGTGAGCAGGGCTTTTGAGGTCAGACCCCCACAGCTCGCAGAGGTTCAGTGGCGGTTTAAACCCTCAGTGTTCCGTGCGGCCACTCGCCTGGGTTTAGACCTTCTGCCAGAGGGTACTTTGAACCCTTAAATCCACCCCTATATCCAATCCATGTCCTTCTACACGGGAGCGTTACTCTCGGTTCTCCTGGGTGGACCGGGGTTGTGTAGCCAGAGGGCTGAGCCATTGCTGATCCAGGTAATTCTCCCACTGGCAGCCAGTACCAGCTTGCCCGGCTGTGTCGGTCTTGTGTGAGGTTTACACGAGCCCTGCGCATGTTCGAGTGCCGATGTCACCGTGCTGTCCCCCTCCCTGTGTTCTGCGGCAGATGTTCCGGTGTGGTCCAAGCTGGAGTCCGGCCACCTTCCTTCCATGCAGCAGCTTGTCCAAATCCTTGATAACGAGATGAAGCTCAATGTGCACATGGAGTCGATGCCTCACCACCGATCATAGCCCCATCTCTCAGCACTGAAACTTCTTGTAAGTCGTCCCGCGTCGCCGGCTGCCCGCTGGCTGGGAGAAGGGGGCCGCGGGTTGCGGAGGGAGCGTGGCGGTCGTGTGTGTGTGTGTGTTTGGAAGTGTGTTACTGGAGAAAGCTCTGGTGACTTGCAGTAAACTGGCCCTCCGGATGCTGGTTTGGTGGGAGGTTTTGGGTTGGGGTCTGCTCGGCCTGTTTCAGAGTGAAGCTGGCATCCTTCGGGCAGAAGTAGTGTTAGCCTGTGCCACAAAAAGACTCTGTTGGTGCCAGAACTGGCGGCTGGCACTTGGCAGACAAGTTCAGGGAGGTAGCGACGCACTGTGGTGCAGTTTTTGGCCCAAGAACGGTTTGGTTTGAGCGGCTGGTTCTTGGTGTTACCTCCTCCGTGGAGCGGCACCACGCGGCTGTCCTGCCACCTGCGAGTGACCCGCTGCCCCGGTGGCAGCTGTCAGTGACCTGGCTCTGTCCAAACGCTGGCAGGTTGTCCCTGCGGCTCTGTTCAGCCTGACTCCCACAAATCCCACCCCACGTAAGTGAGGGAGCACTTGGGTGCGCCCTCGGGGAAGCCCCCTCCCAGCACCACAGGCCCTCTCGCTCCTTGTAGGAAACATGCAGCGACCAGGGCTCTGCTGGCTCTCGGCGCGCGGGCTCGCACCCCGCTTGTCTGCCTGGTCCCACTCTCATCCGCCAGCGCCCCTGCAGCCCGGGGAGAGCAGTTCGGGGAGCTGGCTCCCTCGGAGCCCTCCTGCTGGGAATCTGAGCAGAGCCGACTGGTTCCTATGTCATGTCTGTCTGTTCAGTTCGGTCTCGTTTGTCCCAGTAACAAGCAAAAGTCATCTTAATCAGCAAAAAAGCTGTTCAGTGTCTTTAGAATATCTCCTGGCGCTCCCTGCGCCACTCCCCGTGCCTGCTGCAGCCCGGCGGCCTGCCCCTAGGTCCGCAGGGTCTCAGGCAGTCGCTCGGCTGCAGAGCAGGTGACTGTCCCTTCGGAGCTCGAAGCGCACCGAGGCCGCTCCTGTCTGCAAGTTCACTTTGTGTGGGCTGAGCCTAGAGAAGCAGCAGCAACCCCCCGGTTCCTTGTGTTTCCATCCGGGTGGGAAGCGCAAGGCTGGGGGGTCAGGGCGACTCGGTGGCTGTATTTTAGTGCCTCCGG